TGCGCAACTGGTCACAGGATGCAGTACAGGAGTACACAGAAGGTGTTTCAGCGGCTGGGGAGATGGCCCAGTAAGCCCAGATTCCCTCCTATGAATCAGTGCTTGGCTGTGGTGAGGGCAGAAATAAAGGAGAAGACCAGCAAAACCAAGGCTGTCCTGTGACCAGCCCCAATAAACAACATGTGGAGACTGTCCTTGAGAGTGCCTTTATCTGCAGAGGTTGCAGAGAGACAGTGTGGTGAAGGGGGAAGAGTGTAAATAGTGCCTGTTTGGTTTCATACTTTCTTTATTCTCTTTATTCTTTGTTTTCTGATGATAAAGGAGCTTTATGTGGATATTGTAGCAAAGGAATTGATGAGTCATAAGGTTTGCGACTTCATTTCCCCCTCTGCTCTCTTTATTTTTTTCCTGGTAGTTACATCTCCTTCTTCCTTTCCACCTTGCCCCTCCTCTGCTGGCGCAGCAGAACGTGCTGTGCCTTTAAGAAGTGTGGTTTTTCAGAAGACTAATTCCTGAGCTTTGGCATGTGTTGAGGCATGCCCTAAGTTTTGTGGTGTGGTTTATGAAAAACTAAAGTGCATTGGTTTTTAACTCCTTTCTGCCGTAGATAGACTTTACCTCTTTGTACTTTGCTTGCAGAGCGTACACCGTTCAGCTTTTCCTTAGGGATTTCTGCTCTCTTCTCCAAAAGAGGGGAGATAAAGTGAAATAACAGGCTTCCCCCCTCAATTAAAATTTATATTTGTTGAGTTGTTTCTTACAGGGCAAAACTCTGATAAATAAAGCTGAGATAGCAAATTCTCTTGCTGATTATGTCTTCCCAGTGGCACCAATATGGCTGCAGTGTTAACCTGTCATTGCAGTAGCAGAACGGCGTAGCTGAAGACACGTTGACCTGTAGCAGCCACAGCATTGGCAACTTTATTATGAATTTCATATATCGTGAATTTCTTAATGTTCCTGTTCATCAGTGTTACTTTTTGCTTCCTTTCCCCTCTCATCTCAGTCAAAAAGAAACTTGTAAGGAGACAATACGATTGAACTGTAAAAATTAGCATAGTGTTACGTAAAGAAAACGTAGGGGTTTTTTCTTTTTTTCTTTTTTTTTTTTAGCAAATCTCATTCTCTTGAAACCAAGAGTGTGCTTGGGGAGGTCTGCCTGGATTTTTTTTTTAACATTTTCTGGGGGCAGCAATGCGTTCTTTAAACCACAGCTCCCAGCGAGAACGTTGCAAGCGTTAGAGGCATACCAGGAGGTAACTACAGAGTTACCCTTGGTGATTGTTTTAAAAGCCGTGTTTGCTACGAGGTCCCAGATCTGTGTGCTAATGTTGTCTTGTAACAACAGCATAAATCCTCTTGGGCTGTCAGCCTATATTCGTGTACCTGTACGTTGTTTTAGGCCTCAAGATAGGAAGTAAGTGCAGGTGAGCAGAATTCCCCTACGTCTCTGGCACCGTGGCAGCTCCGGGACTTGCCGTGCAGTCACCCGCAGGATGTGGGCCCCACAGATGAAAGAATGGTTTCTAGTAGAGACAGGCCTGTTTTTATGAGGAGAGATGTTGGAGGGGAAGGGAGGGAGCAGGAGCTGGGGCTGGATGTGCCTTCCACATGGAGGTGGTTGTGTGGCTTTGATTAAGTCACTTAACCTTTGAGCTGCAGGTTTCACGTGAGTGAAATAGTGGTATTAACACTGTGTATGGCATGCTGGGATTAAATGAATTAATGTAACAGTACTTTACAGTCTCAGCTCTGTAAATGTGCTGAGTGCAGTTGTTCTATTTAAGAAGCTTGTAGTGCTTGTTATTGAGCCTACGGGAGGGCCCCTGCCAATCCCCCGTCCTCCCCTCCCCTCCCAATTAGTCCGGTCAGTGCTCTTATCCCTCTCCATGGCCAATAGCGAGCAATCTCTGCTGCTTAGCCTCTCGATCTTGAAGCGCTGCTGTATTGCGACAACTCTCTTCACAAGTGGCTACAGAGGAACAGCCGCACCGCAAGCCCTGGCGAGGAGCTCTGTCTTCTGCATTGCCCTCCGGCCGTCCGAGCCCAAGGAGTCCCCGGCTACCCAGTCCCTGCAGCATCCCCTCAGTAGCATGCTGGAACGGGAGGTAGAGCTCCTGGGATCTCTTGACATCTCTACCATCTGCTCACGGGGTGTCCTGGGCAGGTCACATCACCTTTCTCTTCTTCACTCTTAACGCTGAAGTGCGGATCGTATCTTTTTACCTTCACACCCAAGAGCTGCTCAGGCTGAATTAATGAATGCCGTGAAGTCAAGGATGTCCGTGGACACACAGCACAATGTAAATGTGAAGTATTACTTTGTAATTATGGGTGGAGGTAACCCTTGTTCAAAATGATTTATTTTATCATAAATCAACATTTGATCAGGTGGAATCGTAGGAAGGAGGAAGAAGTGTAGAGAAAGCCAGTCCTCTGTTACCTCAATCTGAGATTTTTTCAGGAAACTGGCATGCTGCCTCTCCCATGTGTTTTGTGCATGCATCGACTCTGAATCTGGTTCTGGTTACCGAGATTGATGGGGTGGCATAAAAATAGTCTGATTTCTATAGGTGTAATATTTCAACATACAGCCAAAAAGAGGTCCTTTTTTTTTTTTTTTCCTTCTCTTGGGATTCGCCATTTTATGAGGAAGCAAAGTTCTGCTTTTTGCAGTGTTGTGTGCCGTATCCAAGGTTGACGCAGTAGCTCCTTGGGTTCAGCCAGTTAGCTAGTTGAGGATATTAGGAAAAAAAGCAGATGAAACGTTATTATGTAGCTGCCAACATACTGGCATCATCAGAGTACAGTTTATAAAGTGTCCAGTGCTGCTGAGGGATCAAAGAGTTAAAATTCCAAGGGTTTAATCCAGTATAATAACATTTTGCAAGGACTATGAAATTCACAGCAAGTGAAAAGCAGAAAAGCGACTGAGCTAGGTGGAAAATGAAATTAGATGGAATTATATTGCCACAGGTTTATCTAACTAGTTGTTTCACTTAACAGGGTAGATGCACGTTTATCTGAGCCCTCAGCAGAAGCTCAGACTGAGTTGTGCTCCCCTGGTCTCCCAGGCTGTATTATCCACAGAAATGGAGTGTCCTTCATCCGATTTGAACAAAGCAGTGTTCTGCTGTGTCTATTTTTGGTCACTGATTTGTATGCTGTAGAAGCCATCTCATTCCTTAGAATAGAGCCATATATTGTTGTGTTTGTTTTCCTTTTGCTGCTGTGTACATAGTGGATTGTTGTTCGTTTGTTTGAAGGATTTAAACATCTGGAAGAGACCGGGGATAGCAGTGTCTTTGTACATAGGTTAGATGTGGAGCTGCAGGTCCCTTCCAGAGTGAAACGTTATGTGCCATCTACTGTGATGCTCCTTTGTATACTTGAGGGTTTTGTTGTGGGAAGGGCAGTATAACACTAATCCAAGCAGCTGGCTAAAACTACTGCTGCTGAAACCAGCACAAGGTAAAAATGGATTTGTTTCCCTAGGTAATTCTGCAACTGATTCCCACTGAGGTAATACCAAATCTGAATTTTGGAAGTAAATATTTTTATGCAGTAAGCTTATCTGAGTTTGGGTGAGTAGTGAGAGGCGTCACTTTTTACTAAAATATGTCAGTAAATGATGCACATAGGACAGATCTCGCTGGGAGAAATTCAGTTCTTCTGTGCTTTGAGCTTGACCATATTATTTGGACACAAACAAATCCAGTTGTAGCCCGAATCTAGTCCATAGGTTATCACAGATGAAAAGGGTAAGTAGAAAGTGGGAGGAAGGGGGAAAGAAAGAATAAGTACTTCTATATTGCATCCCCTTTCCAGTGAGTGGGAGGTTACTCTGCAAGGAGCCCTCGTGGCTTTTACCAGACTATTTGCAGACCAATGCCGCAGCAACAGAAGAGCAGTTCTTATGCCCTGGCTCGGTCTATTGCAAACAATTTCTTTTCTGAGAAAGCTAATCGCTGTTTTGTTACATTACTTCCCAGCAGATGAGCCAGGCACTCCTGAATTTTAAAACAGAACCGCAAGTGAGTGACAGCGAGCTAAGCATGGGCTGGAGCCTTGTAGCAGCATATCCTTCAGCTCCAGTGCTGCAGTCAGAAAGAGAAAGAAGATTTTTCCTTTGAAGATAAGACACCTGGGGCTTCGGTAGAAACTAAGTATGCCCCAAGTCGTGCAGCTGTTATCTCGATTTTAAAAAAAAAAGACAAGACAGAGAAAGACAAAGCATCTGGCTTTTCTATGAGCTGCCAAAAATTCCTCAAAATGCTAAAACCCAAACCAGCGCTTTTCATTCTGCAGTTGTGTTGCTTGCGAATACTTTCCGTCTTGTGGCTTG